TACAGCCAATATACAAAATGCAACACAAGAGTAAGAGTCACAGTTTGAGGAGAGCAGCTAATGAAACATCCTGGGCTGTTATCCACATTTATAGTTTCTGGGTGGATTTTCCAAAGCCTCTCAAGGAAAGGGAACCTAACCCTAACCCTTCCCATATTCCTGCTCCATGTTTGGCAGCTTCATGTCCTATGGCCTATCAGTACCTGTTGTTGTTGAAGCTTTGCCACTTTGTGTAGAGCATTCCTAATTTTCCTGGTTTTCTTCAGGCTTTCTCAGCCTCTTGGACAGCAACACCACCTGCCCCCACCACCACAGCCTGAGAGCACACAGGTCTGGATCACCACAGATCCATGCATAGACTGCTCATTTCCTTCTTAAGTGAAAACTGAATCCTACCTGCATTCCAGCACTGGGAAAAACATTCCTTTATCACTACAATTCAGCAAAATCCCCTGGAGAGCAAACTCAGTGCACACGTATGGCAGGAAACAGGAGAAGGGAATGGCTGAGCAACACAGCCTTTCAGAGGGTACCTTTTAGGAAGTGACTGGCACCATGATAGCACCTCTGACAGGACCCTTCACACCTTTCCTCCTGTGCCACCCTCACTGTTCTGCACCGGGTGCTCCCTCACCTCAGCGTCACTGTCACTGCCTCATGGCTGAGATGCAGCCATCATCTTCTGTAGGTCATAGCTGACAACAAGTTCATTAATACAGCATTACAAACTCCTAAGTAAAAGCCACTCACACCTCATTTGTGAAATAAGCTCTTTAAGTATTTTAGAAACTAGCGGGTCAGGTTTTTATGCATTATGTAAGATTTGCTTTTCATTAATGCCAAATGAAGCCTACATGAACCACTTCTACCTCATATTAAAGGCATGATGCCAGTGAGCATCCATTTGGTTGCCAAGTATCCGGAGACCCCTCTAATTATCTGTTTTGTACTTAAGATGCAGCAGAGGGAGATTCCACCGCTCTGTGGACACGTTCCATAACTTGGCAACTGCCTTGCAGCTGCCTTCATCTCGGGAGAGCACAAAAGGGGGTCACTGGCTGGTTACACTCCTCCTCTGTGAAGCAGTGTGGAGGACTGATGACCAGTAACAAATCTATAAGCTTAAAAAGAAAAAAAATGTGGTCCTATCTAGGGGCTATGGTTTCCTTTCCCCCTGTGAAACTGGGCTGGGGTAGCAGTGGAGCCCTGGGCGATGTGTGTCCACTGCCCTGCTTCACCTCCTCCAGAGCCCAGCTACTGAGGGGAGGAGGCAGAGGAGTGACCCATCTTTCCTTTGCTTGTGGGTCAAGTCCTGCAGCTTTTATTCCTGTTGAAGTCATACTGAAATCAGTGGAACTTTTCTGCAGACAAAAGGAGATGTTATTTCTCTCGTTATTGCCATTAGCCCCGACTCTGGGTGCACCACCAGAAGGAGTGACTTGGTCAGGTTTGCTGGACCTTGAGGGCCTGTTGTTAATGCTAATTTGAGAATGGCACTGGCACACTCTGGTCAGGAAATCAGGTACCATGGGGTTAACTTTCAGCTCTTATACTGAACACAGATCAGTGAGGAAATTCACTGCTAGGTGCACTCTCTAATTATTTAAAAGATAATTTGCATGCTACACAGAAATAAATTAGCTCCCAGGTGACAGCTGTTCCAGTGTGTCCATTCCTGGAATGAGTTGCCATGCTGGGAAATCTAAATACAGACCAAAAGATTAAAACACTGCACTTTCTTGCCTCATAGGAAGGCCCTCCACAAAACTGAGGTATAAAGAAGGGAGGCATAAAGAATGGATGCTTCAAACCATCAAATTTACAAGCTTAACTAACAAATCACAACATTTTCCCAGTCTACATTCTTTTCACTAAGGGCACTTCACATCTTGCTAAAAGATGTACTAATTTAAAAGCATTTTTTTCAAAGCCAAAAGGAAATTCAGTCCTAACCTCAGGTTTGTGGTCATGCAGGATCCTTACAGACCATGTGAACGATGCCCAAAACAGTTGGGTTTTTTTTGATCACACACATAGAAATCAGAAAATGCATTTTCCTGCTCCTCACCAAAAGCCAACCAGGCACCACTTTTTATCCACATAAGAGTCTTAAGACAATCTTCATCTCACAAGAGATGCCAAACTGTTTTTCAGTGTATCAGTTTTCTAACAAACAGCCTTGTCACGGCTCAGTTCTACCACTGTCTACTGTACATTGCACACACATATATGTACATTGTATGGAGCACTGCAATGTGGGGATGCATAAGTACTGTAGATGTGATATATTATGAGAGTACATTATATTGCCAGCCTTATTCTGTTGCTCTACCCCCTCCTGAGAGCGGCGCAGGAATCTGCTGCTTTCAGGAGCAATTTGCTTCCTCCTCTCCCTGTCTCCTCTTCCTCTTCTCATCTGTCCTTGCCCTCTGCCTTGGCTGCCTGCAAAGGGCTTCCCTTTGCTTTTCAGTCTCCCACCTGCTACACCTGCTGGAGGATGCACCCTCCTCACAGGATGGACGTGTGTAACAGGAACACCACGCCCGGGATGAGCAGGAACACGTGTGTGAAAGCACCACAAGAACCACAGGAGCAAGGAGGTTAAAGAGCAGCATATGTTCATTGCTGAGGAGCAACATATGGGATTTCATACTCATGACCAAAGAGCAAGAAGAGAAGGAACAAACCTATCTAAAGATAAGGTATAAAGAAGACTAAAAATGACGGGAGGCAATAAAATAACCAGATAACAAAAACCTGGCAACTGTAATTCAGGAATTTTGCCGCAGGCTAATGAGAGGTGAGATAAAATAATGAGGCAAAAGGTCCCAGACAACATCCCTGTCTAAAGGCTGTAAAATACAAGTCCAAAATTTAATTCATCATCACTAATTAAGGAGAGCTCAAAAGATGTGATGAGGTCCTGATACGTGGTGTCCCTTTGTGCAGCACACCAGTGATCCTGGCCAGACCACCAGCCTCGCACGTCCCACTGCCTGTGACAGGGGATGTGAGAGGACCCTGGTGAGCACAGAGCAGGTAAGACACCCCCAGCCTTACAGGAGCAAGAGACTCTGCAGTGAGTGTATATGCTGCCATCAGGTAAAGCTGCTCCTCTCACTCTTACAGTGCTGCCTGGCCTGACATCCTATTAACAGATCATCGCTGGGATCTTCACCTCTCCTGAGATTTTACAGTCTCTGTGGATGTTTAGAACCTGACCTTACTTTGTAATCCCCTGATCAGCTTGTGCCCTGTGTGGGGATCCTATCAGGATCATGAGTGCAAGGAAGGCTAACACATTCTTATTTCTCTGAAGAAGAAATAAGCTGCATGTTCAGAAAGTTCACCTCTCCTGTCTTCCAAACCTGAGTGCAGCTGTCAGGGAGGCAGGTGAGTGAGCTGCACTGAGGTCCTCAGGCTGGGCTACGTGCCCAACATGCAGCAAGGGGAAAAAAGGGAAAATAGGCTAGTTTGGTCAAGGTCAAGAAAATACTGCTACCTGTGCTGCAGGCAGAAATCCCAAAGCAAGATGATTTATTTTTCCAGATGCTGCTACATGTGTGAAACTTGCTGGTACATCTAACAACAGACACTGTAATCACATCTGGGCAAACAACCATGGCCTCAGTGCCTGGTTCACACAACAGATGAGCTCACAGCTGCACACGCACATTGTAAGGCCAGAAAAAGAACTAATGGTACCTTGCCACAACCTGAATATTGAGCTCCTTCCAATGCTCTGAGTGTATGAGCTGATCAGCATCAGCCACGACGAGGAAAGAAAGTCACCTGTTTTCTTAGCCCATATCTTACCCACCTGTGCCACACTCCTTCAGTATCTCCTTAACATCTACTGACAACGTGCCATTCAGGTGAACTTCATGTTTGCTGTGTCCCATTCCTCTTTTGTAAAACAAACCCAACATTTGTTATAAATCAAAATCAAGCCCCATACCAGCAATAATTCACAACTTTCTTCTGGACCACAGCACATTCTTTACCACAAACTTTTAGCTAAAAAACTATGTTTAATTTGAAAATTTTGCTACCGTTTGCACCTTTCTTCCAGTTGTAAATATAACAAAATCAGACCGGGAGACTTTTCAGGCACCACTATCAGCTTTGTATCATGATAAAAACTGACCATTTGGTTCCTGAGCTTGGCTTTCTATCCCTACCCAGCTGATGTCACTTGTCTGTGTGTGACAGTTTACATTCCCAAGCACCATTTGTAAAGGATTTCTTAAAACAAAAATCAAAAGCAATGAAAAATTCTTCCCTCTGGAGGAGACAGCACACAACCCTTGGCTAGAACTAGCCAGGCTCTTTAGTATCCCTTGGGAGACCTGCCTGGGAATACCTGTCTCCAGGACTGCCCTGTGCTTGGCCAGACATCTCAAACTCAGCCAGAGCTGTCTCACTGCTGCAGTGCTGCCACCAAACAGAGTCCTGACACAGCCTCCAGCTCTATCATTAAGTTACAGTAACTTTCTTCCACACGGCACGTGGTCTAAAGGATAAACTTTAGGCTTTATCACCAGATAAAAACAGGCAAGTTGTTGAGTGTGGCTATCACCAGGAGCAATTTAAAGTCTCCCTAGAAATCTCTGGCTTAAAAATTTGATTTGACATGACAAAAGTACTTTTAAAAGTGACTTCTGAACATGAATCTACAGTAATAAAGGACTGTTCAGGTTCAGCTGAATGATTTCACCTGCCAAATATTCTAAACAACAGTGGTAAAGACATTGAAATGCTCTTTCAGATGAAAGATGGTCAAGTACACCATTGTTCCTCCTCTAAACAAATCAGACACACAGCTCTTTCTGGGAAGGTCTTCAGGACTTCCATTACTACTGATAATTTTGATAAATAATGGAAAATGTTTTTAAATCTCTTCATCTACTTCTTGTTCCAAAGGAAAATATCCAGAAGACAAGTCCTAATAAGATTGTGCCAGAGTGCAGATTTGCTGCACGAGGCAGAGTTTCTCTCACCTGTAAAGGTCAGTGATCTGCCCGTTCCTCCAGCGATAGTACAGGTCGTTCAGCAGGCGCTCGTGTTGTCCGTACAAGCACAGGTAGTTGGAGACAGGAAAGGGCTCCTTGGAAAAGCAGGTGATGCTGTCCACCATGTTGTACTTGCTGAAATGCATCCTGAAGTAGTTCCCATGTCCTGCCTCTCCAGTTATTATCTCTGTCCCCTGCAACAGAGAACACCAGGAAAGCTGTAGGGACAGAAGGAACACCTGAGCTGGCCCAGGCACAGGGTCTGCGAGGGGCTCCCAGCCCACAGTTACCACTCCTTAAAGCATACAGCCCTCTTTGTTAAGTCAACCATTCTTTACCCTGTGGGTTATAAGGTACTTTGCTGTGGCTTGGACACAGATTTTCCTGTGTGGTTTAGACCTTGATTAACTGCCCACCCAAACGTGCAGCACGGGCTGAATGCCACTGCAGACACTTGAGGGCATCTGGGCCCTCCAGCTGCACTGGCAGTGACACCGGCTCCACAGGGCCCTGTGACCTCCTGGAGCAGCAGCTGGAGTCAGGAGGGATGCCGTGGGGCAGCCCAAACAACACTGGATGCCTCTGTTTGGGCAACTCAATTGCACTCTGTTCGGCCCCATTTATGACAGAGCACACACATATCCTGCTTTACTGAGGATCCCATCCTGAGGAATGAAGAACACATCAGCAGGCTTTTACTCTCTCGCCACATTTATAACTACCCATCTGTATTTTTATACATGTAAGTATATGCATATGCAAACAGTGTGAGTGCAGAGTCCAAATTCATGGCACATGGTAGAAGCTCCACGACTGCAGGCAGAGGGTGACACTACCACATTAACCAGGTACAGGTGAACTCCAATGCTGCAACTCAGATTTAACACATACCAGTGAAGCATTTTTGGCTTTGTGTAACACGTTTCCCAGTAGTCAGAGGTGTGATGTGCTGGAACAGCTTTCCAGGAAGGAGAGAAATACCCAGAAGGATCCTGCTCAGTTCCAGAACAAACCTACACACTACACAAACAGCACTATGTACAGCTGGGGCCTGTGCCTACAGGAGGCTGCACTGGCTCTTAGGATGTTTCCTTCAGGCCATGTTCTAGACCATTAAATAGTAAATATAAAAACATACATGTGTATACTTACTTATATATGTATATGTGTGTTCATACACACAAACACACGTCTGTATAGGGTTTCAATTGCTCACACACCCAACTCTTGCTAACTTGAACTAGGGCTGCCATGTGTTGCCAACACCAACTCTACTGTCAATAAAATAACACTGTTGAATGTTGATGCTCAAACTGTAGCATTTAGTTTCAGCCACTTAAATCAATCACTCTGAAGACAAAAGTGTAAAAATTTGCTTCAAACCTGCCATTGCAGTGGGATGATCACATAGCTTGAAGCTGGTTTTATAAGCTGTATTCCTGTTCCAGTTTTATCTATTTCTACAACCTGTTGCTAGGCTACAGGAACCTTTGGTACTTCCCCATCTCAGCTAACCTTTCACTAGCTTCTCTTCCTCCTTCCTTAGGATATTCTTTTAGGATGTACATGAAGTTTCTAGAGTGGCTTTAAAGATGGTCTCTTTTCAGGTAATCAGCAGGTAATCAAAGCAGCAGCAAAAGAATTCTAAGTATGTTCTAGCAATTTAGAGTAACAAAATCAATTGCTCTCTCTGATGGTCCTTTCTGCTTTCCAGCATATGCTGCATTGGATGGCTCATCCTGGATCTGGAAAACAAGGTGAGCCATGCTTTGATTCCTCCCCCAAGCCATGGATTTCTTTTTAAAATCCAATTTCTTTCTATGGACCACCGCTGTCCAAGTTTTAAAGTGAACACTGAAGTAGCCTTTTAAAAGCTGCTCTTTAAATCAACTACAAGAATGGGCTTGATATAGAAATCCCTAAGGTAAAAGGTACAATCTATGTGAAACAGGAGCTTGCCTAGCTGGATGGTCCTCTCTGGCTTTAAAAGACATTAATCTAGTCCTTTTCTTGTCTTACAGGTCAGGTCCTCCAGTAAGAGAAGTGTCTCCATGTTTGTACCCTGGGACATTCCCCATGTGTGTGAAGTGGTTCCCTCTACCCTGTTCCAAGACAACCCTCATGGTTGCAGGACTCACTATTTCCTAGCAGTGAAGCACAGAGCATCTCTTCCAGAGTAGTTCCTACTAATCTAGAAATCAACTGAATTTCCCTGATAAACTGCCAGGTTTTATCATCTGTATGCAATTCCAGCACCATATTGCAGGGAGGAAAGAGGCTCAGCACTAAGGCTGAAAGCACAAAATCCAGCTAATACTGTCCCATGTCCTGTGCATAGAAATGGGGCATCACTGAAGAAAGCCAAATATCAGGAAGCGTGGAAACAAACCCCTGAGAGGCTCAGAGAGGTCTGTAACTCACCCTGGCTCAGCAGATGTGCCTGGTGCATGCAGTCTAATGCCCAGTTGATGGCAAACACACCACCCCCTCATGTGCCAGGTGTTCACTTTGTGCTGGTAACTGCCACAGATGCATCAACCCACACTTACTCAGGTACTTTGTCACAATTCAGGGTACTTGGGCAGGTACCTGCACTGCCTTAACTAGGAACATCCTTCCAAACAGAGGATGAAACAAAGAAGTTCTGTTATTGAACTTACGTGGTCACACTGGGCAAGTTCTACGTCCAAGCGGATGGGAATTGCTGGTTTGGAAATGTGCAAGTAGTTATAACCTCCAGGAAGAACACCTCCTGCCAGAAATGAAAATGGGGTTTATTAAGTCATAAGCAATGAAGCAAATAGAGTATTTGTTTGCCCTCCTTCTGCTGTATTCTTTTTCCACTACATAAGGAGCTCTGAGGGCTGTACTGCCATGAGACGGCACCTGAGGCGAGGTGGACCTGTCTGTATAATAGAGCAGGGGATGGAGGTGTGACAAATCCAGTGGGACATACCTTTAACTTTACATCCTTTGTACATGGGGATGAGTCTGTCTGGCCCTTCTGGTGGCTCAGAATGGGGCTGAAGGGCTGGGTCAAAGAGACTCAGCATGGATGCAGCAAGCTCAAAGCCAATCTCTTTGGAGCTGAAGTTGCTGTGTGTCCATTCATCCCTACAGTATCTCCTGGAGAACTTTGTTAGAGGACCTGCAGCCCTGATGCTGACATCATTGGTGCAGAATTTGGCATCAATCACAAGCCTTCCATCAAAAACAAGGCAAGCATCATTGACTGCCTTAAAGGTTTCGTAATCCACTGCCTTGTAGGCAAAGCTAAAAAATGCCTAAAAAGAGATATAAATAATTGTAGAGTATATTATTTATTATTTACCAGCTAATTTCATAAATCAAAATCCATGCTTCATTCTGAACACCATTTATTTTAAAAAACAAGAATAGGAAATAAAGTATGATTTTATATACACAGATAGATCATTCTGATCCAGCACTTACAGCTACCAAAATTAAAACAAAGACAATAGAAAGGAGAATTACTAAACTAGACTCTCTGCTTCTGTTTATTAGATGAGTTTTATTTTAAAAGTTCCAGTATTCACCACACGTGAAACTATTATGAGTGGCCATGGGTATTTTCTGTTAGTACAAGCATAGGACATAGACCTGAACCCTCTATGAAGTTGGTTTTCTTCTTTCAAATGCTCGAGCGAACCTGAAACCCCAAAGAATAGAAAAGCACAATGTACTTTGCATTTAGCAGGATAACTGTGTATTACAAATGTTTTCCCAACTGCTGAGCCTGTTTACCAACAAACTGAGTTACTCTGGCTGTCAGCATGAGGACAGTCAATGAAATGGAAAGATCAGAAATTAAACTTGCTCAGAGAAAATGTCATCCTCATTCCAACTACAGCAGCACAATTTCAGCCAGTGGAAGCTGCAGAGGCCAAGGAGGCTGTGAGAAGTACAAGAGGACTGAACATTCAAAGGAACAGGAAAGCTTTCAGGTTTGTTATATTTGACAGTATCATAGATTTTGGAAAGCACATCCAAACTTTGTCAGGGCTGAAACACCTCTCTAACTACTCCAGACCTGGATCATACTCACTTTAGGAGGCAGGCTGACCTGTGCCTCCCTAAAGCAGGGCACTGCTGTGCTCTCTAAGGCCGGGCACCAGGCTAGCTGTCTATCAGATCCATTGGGATCACCCAGGCCAGCCCAGAGGAGGCTGCAGGGAAAGCATCTGGTACATTTGGCAGTCAGCTGCTGAGCCTGGTAATGAGCACAGCAGATACCTATTTGGTGTATTTTGTTTTGTGGGACTGAAAATAGATGGGACTTCCACTCTTTGAAAAGATGGCCTATACTGTCTTAGGCAACCTTACAGTCCTGGCCCTGAGGTAGGGAATTATCTTGGGATCAGCATCTACTGAAGTCACGAGCTCATCTTCCCCACAGGAAGATTTCAAGGACATTTAAAGAAAATCACCCTAAATCCCTCTTTTGAGTCTCAAAGAAAAAAAGCTAGTGATAATTCCCTCCTTTTGTCTTCTCATGGCACCTGCACAGTCGCTCTCCTGGGACACCAGGAAGCAGATCAGACAGACCCCACCTCCCCCAAAGAGGAGCACCGTGACCAGCACTGCAGAGCAGGTGGTGCTGGAGCAGCCACCGGTCTGTCCCACATGCTGGGCACCGGAGAGGAACAGATGCACAGGCAGCACAGCTCCCAAGAGGGATCGTGCCTGAGGAGCCACTTTGAAACCCGGCACCACCCTCACCTCCGTCAGAGCCCTGTGAGAGCAGATGTGGGAGAAGCTGCAACTTCAGTGTCCTCAAAGCTTGCATAACATGTGCCCCAAGCAAGTGTAAAACAAGAGTGCACACTGGACACTGAGAGTTAAAAGGAACAAGAACAACAAGGCTGAGAAATGTTTTGAACAAGACCGTGCTCTGCAAAGGGCACCGATGAAGACTGACCATCACTACAACAGTTTGTGAAGCTCCAGAACCCTCACACAGAGTTTTCCCTGCCAGTGCTCCAACTTTTAAAATCATTAGATGACAAGTCACGGGTTGCTGTCCCAAGAAATATTCCTGTACAGGCTGAGGAAAGGGTGGAAGCATGCATTCCCTTGCTGCCTTCATCCTCAACAGCCCAAGACATAACTGTCAGGACAAAGCAGCATCCATAATCTGTTCTCCCCTTAGTGCCAGCTCAGGGAGGACACAGCTGTGGCCTTGGTAAAGGTGTTACCCAGCTGTACCCCCAAAGAGCTTTCCTGGGACTAAGTAAAGTGTCACATGCTCACAGGTGGCTGGATGAGCCAGTTGGAAGAGAAGGCACAGTGAGGGAAGCAAAGGAAATTTTAGCAATGCTGGCACAGCAGAGATGCAGCAGCAGAGGAGCCAGAGCCTCTGGGTTTGTTTGCAGATAAACCAAGTGATGAACTACACACAGCTAAGGGAATTCTGACCATCTTGTAGAGCAAAATCAGGGAAGCTCTGCCCATGAGGGCAAGGGGACCACACAGCCCCATGTCCTGCCGGCTGACAGGCAGGACGGTGTCACCGGAGGGGAGGGGAGGGCTGCAACCTCCAGGCTGGAAGCCATCTGTCAGCCCAGGCAGGAGGGAGGGAGGCTGCTGCTTTAGGCAAAGAGGAGATTTTCTCCTGTTGTTTTTATCCTGTAGGACTCAACAAATTAAGCCCCCAAGAACTGCCACTCAACAGTTGATACTGGCTCAAATCCCAAAAGGCCCAGGGCTGCTGCAGCGCCGATTCCTGCACAGCCTGGTCTCTGGTGAGCACAGCTGCCTTCCTGGCAGAGGCTGCTCTCTGGAGCCTGGCATCCTCTGAGCCCGGCCTCCCAGGCAGCTCGAGCCTTGCAAGGCAGCTCAACTGCTCTTGGAGAATATAAAGCCCCTGACATCACAAGTAATTAAACATCTCCCATCTTGGAGGCCGGAAAAGATCTTGACAGGGAAGGACCGTGGCTGGAAGAAGAATGAACAGGGACACAAATGAGCAAGAGAAACAAACCCCAAGGCAAGGGGGGTTTGAGGGAACAGGCACATGGGCCAGGTGGTGGGGGAAAGAAGGGAGGCTGATGGGTAGGTGGAAAGCGCATACCAAGTTACAAGAATGAGAATCACATTGAGATATCTGTGGAAGAATGATAAGAATGGAGGAGTTTCAGGGAAAGAAGAGAGAACTTGAAGAGCTGCATATGAGAAGAGCGGGAGAAATGTCGCTACTGACATGGAGACCACAGTCAGGAGACCACTGTGGGTAAAAGAGCTGTGCGAGGTCTTCACCCTGATCAGGAAGGGTTCAACTATCCATATGCTAAAAAGAGAAGGGTTGCAGTGTGGGGGAACCAGCAGGGACCACGACACCTGGGAAGCTCTCCGGGAGAGGCACACGGCTTGTCCTTTCCACAGTGACAGCCGCTCCTGCCTAAGGAGTGGGCACACAGCGGGGTGTGCAGGGCAGGACGGCAGCTCCCCGTGGAGGGAGGTTCTGAAGTGACTATTGCAAGTGCTCACTCCTGTGGATTAGCCCAATAAAGGAAAACAGAACAATCCTGACCTTTAGAACAGCTAAGACCTGTCCCCAGTTACAGAGCAGAGCCACACCGGTGAGCGTGCCTGTAGCTTCAATAAGATATTGGTACTGGAGCTGAACAGAACTGCAGTCATTGACGTAAAGGGAGAGAAATCTGCTAAAAACATGTTTTCATTCAGTGACATAATAGGCCTCTTTATCCTCATGTTTTTGACTTCTAGTGTGACTTAATCAAGTGCACAAAATATGGACAGCAGTAACTGCACACATTTAAATAAGGAAAGGTTTTCTGGAATTACTTAGAAAATTAATTAAGAGTATTTGTTACTCAGCGGCAAACTACTACTTGTGTGTCAGGTGACTTAAATACATTTTAATCCAAATCAGTCAGGGCATTAACAATGGGTTTATTTGGATTTTTAGAAAGCCGATCCTTGAGACTAATGAGTGAACGTTCAATCTCCTAGAGACGAGGAGAAACAGATAAATCAGTGAGGGACCACCTAAACTCAATGGCCTTTGTCTGAAGGGAATGCACTGGAGGCACATACTTACTGAGCACTGCAGTTTCAGCGGGTTTGTGGCAGTGGTGAAGGCAGCCCAGGTGATCAGCTCTGGGTCGCTGCCCTCGCCCCACTGTGCCAGGACACCGTCCCTGTGCACAGCCACGCCCGCCTGTGCCAGGGCCCCCCGCACTGCGCCCTCCACCTCGGCGTTGTTCACACAGGTGACATCCGAGCTGAGCGGAGGCTGCACGAGGTGGATGCGAGAACCAGCAATTCCAAGAGACAAGAGCGCTTCTACTGTGGTGTAAATGTCAATTGTATCGCCATAGACAATGACGTTCCCTAAGAGGAAAGAAAAGGGGGGGAAATTTCTAAGACATACAATGAAAAGCTTATTAGGATAACTCAGATGATAATAACGTGAAATTGCTCTATTTGACCCTCTTATTTCTCTGATGCTATGAAGCAAACAATGTTACCTAGCAACAGCAGCTAAGATAATTTAGCAAAGAATCTGTACAAAACATCCCACAAAGTAGGCAAGTACTTAACACAGAAGTATGACATTCATCCTGACCCCATAATTTGAAATTATTTTGATTGAAAAGCCTCTGGGGGCAAAAAAAAAAACAAAACCACCACTATTTTTTTGTTCTCTCTCCTCAGTTTTGCTCATTCAAAGGACTGATGGAGGAGGGAGCAGACAGGAGCAAATTAAATACATGATGCAGAAAAACCCCACAAGCTGTGGAAAGGTCAAGCTATAGAAAACGAGCCTTTTTGCCACATGGCCATCAGTGCTGCAGCTTCCTTCTGCCAAAGCCTGATCTCCAGAGAATGGGGACAGTCCTGCAGACATTCCCTGTCCCACCACCGTGGCAGGGAGAGCTCTGCACCACTCACTCTCTCAAGCAGCTGCCTCTTTCCCTCACACAAGCTCTGAGCCAGCCAGACTCCATCCCTCCTCACTGCTGGGAAGTCAGCAAGCTGGATGCAGACATCTGATCAGCTGCTGTGACAGCAGTGTGTGGGTACTGCTGCTCCTTCTGCAGAAACCACTCCTAAAACCAGCTCCATCTTCCCACCCTGGGCACCCAACCTAACACACACCTGCCACTGCAGAGCCACAGGGCAGGGCCTTGCATGGTCTCCTCCTGAACTGGTGCCGCTTCAAAGGGGACAGTCAGAGCTGAGCAGCAATCCATGGGGATGGGAGAGTTCTGTTCTGTGTGAACACAACAGCGCCCTCCAGCCTAACAACTAAAGCCCTCCTGACGATAAGGGAGGCAGAGCTGGGATACATCGAAGCAGCTGAGTGTTTTATCTCAGAATGGTTTAATATAAAACCCACAAACATTCCTCTGAGCAGGGACTGAAGCACACTCCTGTCCTGCCCATTCCCTCTGCCCCCTGCTTGGAATAGGAGCCATTTCTCTGCTTGAATAATCCAGTTAGAACGGCCCAGATGTCGTATGACAGGCTGGGAACTGCTGTGCTGGGGGCTAAGGACCCTTCCCACGAGGGTCACAGCCCAGCTCCAGCCAAGCACAGGAGGGCTGAGCCAGGCCTGCCAGCTCCTCTGTGCCCATCTGCCCCAGCCCCAAGCCCTACCTGCCTGCCAGAGTCCACATCAGCTCCTGCTTACTGGGTGTCTCAGGACAACAAGGATCTGACCTGCCAGCACGAGGATGCATCAACAGCACATTCCTAGTGCTTTAATGTCCCATACCTGGGCAGTGCTGCAAATGACTTGTACATTTATCTCAGCACTGGCATTTATGTCTCGCCACAAGTGACAGCATCCCCTATACATAAATTGCATTATTTACAGGCTAAGCTGATTTCACTGGGACCATGTTTTACTGCATGAGACACAGGGCAACACTAAACTGAGCATGCACACAGCCCAAGCTCCCAAGAATATTAATGATAAAAATGTTAACAGATGTTCTACCATTCCCCTTTGATTACAAGGTTATTTTATTTGTCCCATCAGTTCAGCTATTTGTAGCTGCCAAATAAACATCTCTCTTCATAGCTGCCAGAGAACAGAATTGCCCCATGAGTACCCTGCTCAGAAATTATGGAAAATATGTTTTTACTGTTCACAGCAATGACCAGGGGAACAGAACAATTTTACCTGCAAATGTATCCATTTGAAATCATAAGAAGAAAGATCTTACTACTTCCATAAATATCAAAAAGAACAAGAGAATTCTGTCCCATGTGTCCCTCACTGAGCTGACTTTCCAAGCCAGAAGAACCCAGTCCATGGCTCGTGCCTGCCAGGACGCCTGTCTGCAGGCAGTACTGGCCTCAGGAAAGGTCCAAAAGAGAAGACAGACATAAAACTGATCATTTTTCCCCTGCTGCAGCAAGGTACAATGCAGGAAGCACCGAAGCAGAACTTGGGGTGAAAGAGCAGCTTTGCTATACTCATTTTTAGTTACCCAACCTGCTGACAGTGCAGGCAAGGAGGAGGTGTGCAGGTGCTGACAGCCTCATGCTATGTTTACACACTTTAGATTTGCGAGGAGTAAAACACCAGCAGCTGAAGAGGCTACAGTGGCTGGGAAAGGAGGATGAGGAGGGCTTCCCAGAGCATGGCCCAGCAAAGCTCCATTCTGACTCTGGGGCAAGGCTGGGCTGAGACATTTGGCAGCACCAGTCCCCTCAGAGGGAAGCTCAGTTGTTGCATTAGACACTGGCATTTAGGGACATACAAGATCAGATTCGAGCCCCACATTTGTCATGGAAAATTAAAATTCTGTTTTATATGGTAATATTAAATACAACTGCATTAGATCAGGGAAAGCAGTGCTCCTTTACTGACCTCTTGTAAATCAACAATTTACTGCTTCTGCTTATTACAATATTAGTGGCTTTTTAGATGACAGTGCTAGTAGTCTAAGAACTACAGATATTCATTATGGACTGAAATTATGTCCACTGGAAAGAGAGCAGTTCCTCAGGATGCTTTTATTATTTAACTACATGAAAATGTATCTGAGTAAACATAATAATCTTTCACGGAAAAAGCAGCCATAAATAAAGATCATTACAGTAGTTTTATCATTTATTACCCGAGTGTCAGCATCCTGCTGCAGAGCAGACCCATTCATTTTCCACAAGTGGAAGCACAAGATTTCGGTGACCCTAGCATGACCTGAATCTTTGCAGTTTGCAAAAGCTAAAGGAGAAACCCAGTATGAACTAAAGCATCAGTGGCTTTGGTAGGTGATTCATGCACTGGAATTTTAATGCGAGAGTATTCCTACAAACACGCTTTTAATAAGGCAGTAAACTACGCTTAGGTATAGAGAAAAAATAATTGCTCCATTTTGGGCCATTAAAGCAGTTTTGTTCCTTACTTTACTTCCATCCTACTTTTTATTTTGGTGGAAAGTGCAGAGCTAATAGGAGCTGAATTTCAATTAGTCACCATTACAGCTGTCATAGGTTCTGTGCATTAGGCAGCTGGGTTTCAGCAGCAGCCTCGGGGCCAGGGCTCGCCCTGCTCCAGGGCTGGCCACAGGACTTCCCTCCAGGAACCTTGCATCACACCACATCACCGCCAGTTCTCCTGACACTCTACCAACAAGAGAGGTCAAACACATCTTCGGGGAAGCCCTTGCGACGGGAACTCCCCAAAGACAGCTCTCCTGCTCTGAACTGCCCTGGCAGGAGCTGACACAACAGGAACTCGCTGACTGACTGCCTCTGTTTCTGCAGTTTAGCGCTGACTCGGAAGCCTGGATGATCCCAGGTATTTTCAGTAGCAAACACAGTGGATGAACTAAGGAATACATGAACAGAGTGCATGTAACAGGGCTGAGGAAACACAGGGATGGGGGATATCTAAACAAATGTCTGATTTTAATGGTTAGTAAGAGAATACCAGGAGCTTGCAGTTCTCTGTGAAAATCTGTAACTAGTGCAACTGAATACAGTGCCGACAGGGACTTCCTGATTTAGACCTGTTTTCTTTGCGTTACACCACAAATCTAGGTATTTTTCTATATAACAGAAAAACACATCCACTAATTAAATTATTATTTAATTGGTTAATTAATGACTCCAGCCAGATTTGCATTTAGGACTCATATTGTTTTACATAATAATAATTGCAGATAATTAATCTATCTCAAGCCTTTCTTTCCTAGCTAAATATGTTGGGTATCAAAAATGACAACAAATTGTAAATTAATCTGGAAAACAAAGCACAGCAGATGAAAGACTTTGTTAGAATTAATCAGGCACCAATTATACCATGGAATTTAGGAAACAATAAGCCTATGAAACATTTCTGTAAGTGTGCACACACTAAAGCCCCTTACCTCTGGACGTGACAAGGTTTTCCTCCAGCCAGCATGCCGCCTGCAAGCAATCCTGCTCATCGTTGAGAGTGAAGTGATTGCAAGGGATTTTCCCCATGTATCTCTGTGGCCACTCACTCATGACTTTGCTGTCAGTTGGGAGTTTGATATCTGCTCCAGTGGGAGCCAGGGCCTGGAAGAAATGAACTGGTGAGCAAATGGTTATGTGGCACAGACCTTGGAGACATTAAAAGACAGTGACGCACTCACTTTGAATTCCTCAGGCTGCTGTCCCTGCACACCTCAACCCTCCTTCACACTCAGCAGCAGCAAACACTCCCGTAGGCACAGAGCATGGATTCCTGCTGAGCTGAGTTCACACATGTATTCCCTGTTTTCTGTGGGTTGTGGGTGACCATTTCAAACACCAGTGCCAGTACAAGTGGAAGCACATGGCAAATACCACAGACTGCACAGCAAACAGCAGAATACCCCAACACACAGCTAAGGGATCTCTGCAGTTCTCTGAATAACAAATAACTTGAAAAGGAGATTCCTTGTTAACTCAGACTGCCTCCACCTTTCCTCCGCAAAATCACCTTTCTAAAAAAAGAGATTTTGTCCCAGAGAAAGGGGCAAAACCCTGCTTGATGGTTCAAGTGCCAGGATTCAGTACCATGTTCACTGTATAATGCTGCTTTACAGTAACAAACTCCATCTGAATCACACAAAGCAAAAAGGGAGCTCAGCTTGATTCCACATCTTACATGCAGCTAAGGGTCTGCTTCAGCCTCAGTGCAAACTCAGCTGGGGTGCTACAATACCAAGCAGCATCACAGACATGCCTAGGCACGGTCATCACGTGAGATGAGCGATTAATTTGATAACGAATTCTCTCCATTGCCAAAACTAGGTCAAATAGTGTTAGACCAGCTGGAGTTAAGTCTCCTGTGGCTGGGGCCACATGTCAACTGGGCCTCCTCTCAGCAGGTTTCATGGTCACAGTGTCAAAAACACTGGCAGCTTTGCTTGATACCCAATCCTGAGCAGCGCCATTGCTGGTGGGAAGTTGTGTCCAGCCCCTCCTCTCCTCTGAGCTCAGCAGCGGCACCAACATGGCCCAACGCGCTGCACTGAAGGGCTGCAAACCACCCTAAGCCACCCTTGCTAAGGCCTGCTCCGCTAATGCCAGGAACACCATTCCCTGGAGGCACTGGAAATGCTGTGCTGGTTTTCACTCTGCACAACACCTCACCTGGTAGTTCTGTCCCGTGCACAGAACCAGGTAGTCGTACGGTACTTTCTTCTCCTCGGAAACAACTACGTATTTGGCAGCACGATTTATGCCAGTCATTTTACCAACTACAACGTTAACCCAGGAACAAAGTGACATCTGTGCATAATCTTCATCATTAAAACAGTGGCTGTGAAGAAAGAATATCTGTAAGTGACATTTCAGCAGCTGACAGCAGGCATTAATTAGACATCTGGTGAGCTCGGCCACGGCCCTCAGTGGTTCCGCCTGCTCCCTCACTGTGAGTTTGCCACAGTCTACAGTAAAAGACTAGTCATTACGAAATACTCAGTTACAAATTGTCAACTTTCTGCTGAAACCAAACAATCCCTCCCAGCACTGGGCCACACAACCACATAATCTAAGAACAAAGTCAGAAATACATGCTTTACTCTGCCCTTGCTTTGCAGGCTGATGAGAGGAGGAGGCTTTTGCACCTGCAAAGAAAATACTTTAACGGCCCAGTTCTTTCTCCAAGACAAGTCTCTCTCATTCAGTTTTTTCCCCATTTTTCCTGCTTTTTCTATTCAGCTTCAGCAGTCATGGTTGGGGTGAGATAAATGCAGGGAAGGCACCACTAGCATTTTAGCATCTGTGTTCCAAAGTATTCATCCAAAAAGTTTAAAAATTAATAAAAAGCTATGAAAATGGTTGTGAGAGCTAGAAGGAAAAGGCAGAGGTCTCAAAACTCCTGTTAGTGACCCTTTTACAAATGAACTTCTCCACAGTGCAAGAATGACAAATTGTGTGAGCATACTAAACTGTTCCTCTACCCCAAACTTTCAAAAGCCTTTAAGATGCAACTGAATTCCCCTGCGATGGTCAGGGTGTGCACAGAGCACACATCACAAGCACCACTTTCTCCCACAAGCTCAAATGTGATTCAGGAAAGGGGCTGGGCTGGAGCCTCTGCTGCCTTTCTGTGGCACCGGGAGCAGCGCTCCGAGCTGTTGCCTTGCCAGCAGTGCCGGGGTGCACATCCTAGCCCAGAGCAGCTTGATGCACATTAATTGTTGTTACCCACTTCCCAAAACTGCCCTTCAGGCTGCCACAGGAACAAACACAGTTGCTTGCATGACCTGGAGAATTTTAGGACTTGACTGCCAGGCTTTCTGAGGTGCTCTGCATCCTCTGCACTCACAGATACCAGAGACAAATGAATGAGAACCACTGACAATTCTGAACTGTAATCATGCAGAAATCTATAAATAAGGTAGACATCAAGGACAGGGAAGGGTTTTCAAAAGCACCCTCATAATTGAGGTGTGCAGCTCCCAGGAGACTGACACTCCAAAATCACAGGGATGCTTTCAGAAATCATACCCTGCAGAGTTCATTTTCACTCTTAATCTGCTTTCAGATTTTACCAGCTAAATCTGGTGAGGCAGCTCTAAACCACAACTTTCCATCAGGTAGGCTGCTTTGTTAGTACAACTGTTTTTTTACAGTGCACTTAGGAAAAAGAGTACATGCGTTTATGTGAGCATATAACCCCTGCATTTGCTAGATTTGTACTTAAACATGCCTCTTTCTACAGTAAAAAAATTAATTCAGGTAACTACTTATAAAAAACTTCTTGGCAAGGCAAAATACCAAATGAGATCAGGTGGTTTTAAACAGGTTCCCATCACATAATTTTCACATCTTTGTAGCGATTTCATCTGTAAGGTTCAGCAAGCAGACATGGAGTTGTTTTGTCCTTTAAAGAGCCAGCCCTTTAGTGCACTGCTGCTCACTGAGGAAAAGATTTGGTAAAAGACAATGTGCAGGCTCCAAAGAGTCACATGACAAAGCTAAATAACTTACACTAAGTTCATTCCCCAGCTATTCAGAATAAACGATCCATTTTAATTCCTTGTTTCTCAAAGCCCAGAACACTCATGTTCCTGCCTACAGGGAGGACTTCTAGTCACTATTCCAAAATAAAAAATAAAGCCATCAAAACAAACCCAGTGTATTTAAGTGAGAATTATGTTGTGTGAATTTTAATGAGGTAACATTTTATCCTACTAACCGGAAGATATTTCATAGTGTTTGACACTCCCTAGACACAGGCAGGGCTCTCACCACCTTCCCTTCAGCTGTTGTACAGCAGCCCCAGCTCTGGGACCACACTGTGGCATGGGTACAGCCCAGGAACTGTCACAGCCCAGGGACTGGCACACACAGCCCATGAGCAGAACTGATGCAACACAGTTCTGCCAAACTGATCCACAGCAACAGTCCTAAAATTTCCCCCTGTACTCCACTACCATCAGTGGGCTCTGCATCTCACCACATGCTGCTCTAAGTCAGTCACTGGTCATTTGACTAATATTAATTCTTGTACATTCTTTGCTTCAGCATTATTTGGCACAAAACCCATGAAAATCAAAACCCAAGTAAGATTTAAAAAGCAAGTAGACATCTTCTGTCATTTAACCTGGGATCTAAACAATCTAAAAAGCCTTGGAAGGCAGAGACCAGTGGACTGCTGTCCAGAAGTTACTGCTTTGGCACTGTTTCCCTGCTCATAGTTCTACCCAACTCCCCCAGGTGAGTGCCTGCTGGAGAGACAGCCTGGAGTATTTTGGGGCTGGCTGTGGATCTAGCTAAAATTTCGGACATGTTCACAAGAATTACAAGGTGCTATGTTTTCTGCTGGAGCTACAAAAGTGTTTAGATGTGAAGTCAAACCTGTTAATTAAAAATCTTCTATGCTTAGAGCCTGGTGGATCCTTTCCTGGAAGGCCATGAACTGAAATCAAGGTCAGGTTGTTAAACTTCAGACGTGGCCTGTGGAAAGAAAAAACAAACAGCCCCATGTAGACCAGAAATTCCAAGGGCACGTCAAAGGAGCAGAACAGCTCAGAACTCCTTGTTCAGGAGGGTACAGAAAGCAATTCCTTCACACAAGCACAAAGTGTTTGGTCATTTTGCTCAGATACAGGTGTCTCTGGATACAAGAAGAACAATTTCCACTGCAGTTTCAGTAACACTAGGGTTGGGGGGGCGGGACAAGACTAACAGTATGTTGAACTAAATGCGATCTGACATTTAAAAACAAATAAATATTATGAGTGATTAAGCCTTCTAATCTTCAAGGCTTTCTGTAAGTTAAGGATGGACTGATGCAAATGGTACAAAGGAATCAGAATGGTTTTTATCAACCAATGTTAATTTGTTATTCATACATTTAAAAAATATATTCAAACAAAGTTAAAGGTCATACTTAAACCAAGGAATTTCAAGGTTATGGCTGCCCCTCTCAAAATGCATATTAATAGTTTAATTCTGGATTATGGATTATCTGTGGTAAATCTCCATGCATACTCAGGTCTAGCACAAAGTAATAAATAACCTTCATGTAACAAAGTGCATATATTTATACAGATTATGGGCCTGATTCTCATTTAAATTAAGGTCACTCTGCAGAGGTGGGTGTAAATAGAATTTGCTCTTCATTTATGGCCACATTATGCTGGCTGAGTGATACAAAACGGTCTTCATGTAAATGAGAGTGAGCCTGATCCAGGAAGCTGAATGTGGAGTGCACAGAGCGATGCCATCTGCACACAGGGAGCGCTGCTCGTGGGGTGCAAACAGAACAGCTACAGGAACTTGGCACATCTACACAGCAGGACTCCTTGGCAGTTAGTTTGTTTACCTGGGATTAATTACATAAACATCCCAGATATCCTCCTGTCCTCCTGCCCTCGCGGCAAGGAGTTTTCCTTTCAGCGTGGGGCTCAAGTCATCTCTGTACACACCGCATGGCCTCTTGCCAACAGGTCTCCAAACCCAGGTGCTACAATAACATCAGGTTTCAGTTACATCAGCAATATTTAGGATGAATACATTGCAAGCAAGCATCAGAAACATGACAGAATGAAGGTCTGAGGCAACATTAATGTGCCTCTTATGCATGAGTGCACTACGATACACTTTATTGATCCGGTCACATACCATTTTCCTCTGCAGATGCTCTACCTCTATTGAGTCCACACGCCCTCATCCAGGATTTCCCGTCATATGGTATTTGTTCCCTGCTTCCCCATTGAGCGGGAGGCTTCAATTCAGACCTTTCACTCAGTACGATTTACTAACTAATGATTTACTTCTCCCTCAGCGCTCCCGTGGCATCCCCATATGCCCCAAACATTAATTCATGTTTCCCATTCATTCATCTCGAAGGCATCAAAATGTCGATTAGCATCTCCTTAGCATACTGGGATGAAATGAGTCATATCTTTGATCCACACTTTACACCAAGAAAAGCCAAGGCTCGAAGCACTCTGGCTGAGCTGCCCAGAGTGGTGCTGATGTTGGGGGCAGGATGCAGAGAGCCTGGGGCCGGTACCCGCCCTGCCCATGCTCCAAGTGCTGCCCAGCTCCGGGCACAGCTCTGTGCAAACAGCAGTCCCATCTTCAAACGGAGCAAACTGCTTCTGCTGAGTGTCAGATTTGTCCTGTGCTTAGGCACAGGCTGCTACCGGTGAAAATGATCAGAATCTTTAAATAAGTAACTGTAGCTACAATGCCTAACCCCAGGATTTCCAATACATTCACACATACACAGACACTTCAATCCAGGCCTGAACACTAGAGGGGAGCTGCAGTGCTCAGCACGGCTCCTGCTGGGCACTGGTAGAGTCACCACAAGGTGACAGGTTGGGGGGTTGTGACCAGCTCACTCTACACCATCCTCCCCTTTGCTCCACAGAGCTTTGTTATTTCTAGGCTAACAAAAGGATGGCTTATTTACTGCAGCTTTTGATTCCTTACTGTTGCCTAAAAGCTCTTAATAACTGAAAAACAACCAAAGCTCGGGAAACAGGTACTGGGTGTTGGGAGAGAGAATGACTTATACAGTGCTAACAAATATAACAATGCCTGGCATGAAACAGGGAAAAGCAGAGGTTCCTATTTGGTGAAGAAGTCTTCAAGTTAAGAGCCTGAACCAATGTAACACTAAACAAGTGCACCTGCATTTTAGAAGCAAATAATTCCAGCAGGGATTCACGTTGCTGTGGATACAGAGGGAAGAACAGCTCAAAGATTCTGTTAAAGCAGGGAGGGATTAGAGTATCTAGGGAAATAAGTAAAAGGTGTTGGGTTTCAGGGCACAGCTCTAGAGGCAGGTTACCAAAAAAAAAAAAGTCAGAACACCCTTGTCCTCAGAATAATACAGGGTTGTCAATTTACTGTGAGAATAATCAAAGGGACAAGCACAAAAGTTTTAGTACAATATTTACATATATCCTGTTGTTTGTGAATCTGTTAGAATATCCTTGCTTGGTTTTCTGGATTTTTGCCTGATGTCTTGCTACCCTTTTTTTCCCTTCTGTGTGCAGAATAACGATGGAGGCTTAGATGGTGGAAACTGCCTGAACAAATAATTTAATCAATTGCTTTCATTAAGGCCCTTATTATCACAATAAGTCACATCACTTTTGTTACAAAAAAAAATAAAGTGCAGTAAAGTAGTTCCCATAAACCTAAACATATCGATTTATTTGAAATCATACATTTTTTAAAATTACTTCTCTGGTAATTCATATAATCTAAAATTAAAAAGGGTGACAGAAGATAATGCTTTATCTGGCTCTCAAAATTGGTTACTATGTGCACTGTTCTCCTGTATACATAATCTTTAAAGGATAGTATCTGGAATTATAGCCTATCCAAAAGTAAAATCCTAACGCCACTTGGATTCTTAGCTTCACTGTAACAGAACCCTTGCAAAAATCACATCTTGAGATAGTTCTGAAAATGGTAAAAAATAGTCTTATTTCAGCACTAAATGCTGAAAACTGCAATGTGAAAGTCTTGCATTAACAAAACTTCAAAATCAAAGACCTGTCCTGAAACCGTAAAAGGAACCTTGAGAGCCCAGAATGAGAGGTGTTCAAGCAATACCCTGGTGTTCAAGGCACAGAAATTCAGCGTGCCCAGCTGTCACTCCCACTGAACAGGGCAGATGCAGACAGCAGTTTCCCTTTTCTCACAGATATAACCATTTATCCAAAGCAGGACCCCTTTTTCAGGAAACATTTCAAGAACTCAGCAATCAGGATTTGACTTGGAGAATGGACTTTTGACATCCTAGCAAGAATCCATTAAAAAACCTAGAGAATATTTCCTTAACCCTTTGACTAACACCCTTCAAGGACGCTGGGAGTGCTTCTCTCCACCCCACCCTCCTCAATGTTATTATCCCACTGAATCCAAACACAACCCTGTACCAGTTACTTGAAAGAAAATTAACTCTCCCAGCCAAAACCAGGGCAATCCTGTGTCAGAAGCTGTTCCTCTCCAGTTAAATTTGGCTTCTCCCTCTTCCCCCTTTAAGTGATCAGTCCTGAATTCCCCTCTGTGGGGTTTTACTGCTTGTCTCTCTCCTCCTCTGCACTGACCATTTTCCTAGAGAATATAACTAAACACATCAGCAACTCTGGCTCTGCTACTTTCCAATTCTCTTATTAATTCCTCCTTTTTTAGACAGTTTTATAGCCCCCCACAATCTTGATTTCTCCCTATTACCAAACGTGTCTTTCCAGTTTCTTCTTTCAAACTCCCACCCATCTCAACTCATTTCTCTGAAACATCTCAGCCTCCTCCTGTGGCTGTCACTGCTTTTGTCCTTCCAGCCACCTTTCACTGCCCAGCAACTGGTTTTGCTTTCCTCACTTGTGTCATTTTTTCCCAGCCTTTTTTGCACCATTCTTCTTCCAGTGATTGTGGCTCTACAATGTAATTCAGTTGAGTCTTTTTCCTTTGTTAGACTAATCCTTTTCTGCACTTTTCCTCTCAACCCATACTGACCTTGGCAATTTTACCACTAAGCTCTTCTCCCTCCCTTCCCCACCTTGTTACATTTTCTCCCAAGACTCTGACAAGGTGCCCCCATGCTCGAGTGTGCTGATCCCTGAGCACACTCAAGTGCAGCACTTACCAGCAAACTTTTAACACCACACAAACAAGGGCCAAGTACGTGTTTATTCGCATATTTGCTTATTTCCTTCCTTAGTCCAACATCACCTCAGGCTCAAACATGAACTGCCTCACCACTCTGCACTGAGCAGTACTGTGAACACAGTCAATTTTTGTAGCACACTACAGACCAAATAAGGACTCATCTGACAGAGTTACACATTTCTTAGGAGGCTCTTCCAAAAACTGAGAGGGTCCTGTCAAGATCTGTGGCATTTCCAGGCTCTAGCTTATTAAAACCAATGTGGCCAAGTTCTTACAGTGTGATTTGCTCAGAACAAGGAAACATAAAGAGCTCTTTCCTTGGCCCATGCAAAATACACAGCTAATCAGACCCATCCATAGCCTTGTGTGGGGTCATTCATAGCTACAGAGTTCACGAGGGCAGCCCTACCATCCCAAATCTAAGGTAGCTTTCAGTCTGACCAAATCAAAGTACCATCCAACCACTGCTTCAGTGAGAGCACTTCCTTCCTAAAATTTCAATTTCCATTCCACAAGTGTTCCAGCATTTCATCCTGTTCAAAAAGGGCAATTATTTTTCTAGACAGAAAATGAGGGTTATCTGATGGCCTTGGTAGTTACAGTCTCTCACTGCTTAATTGCCTGGCAGATTCCAAATCACAGTTGAGAGGCATCATCTCCATTTTCCACAAATACAGGTACCATAAATTGGGCAGTAAAACTACAGTGTGGTTGAAATTTTGTTGGTTTGCCTGCTGCTGGGTGAGTGCTTCAGTGAATAACACAGTGCAAATCCCAGCTTGTGGAGCCACAGCCCTGCAGAGCTCCAGCTCTCCTGCCAAGGCAACCGGGACAATCTCATCTCAGTCCTGTATCTCATGTCCTCCCACTGTCACCCCAGACTCCTTCCTGGGATCTGGCAGGTCAACACAGCAATCCAGAAAAGGAACCTCAACACTTCCACTCAATAAGCATTCAGAAACCCAAGCCAGTCCCTTCAGTTAGTGACCTCCGTTTGTCACCACTCACTCTGCTCATCACAGTACACAAACGGGAATCAAATCCACACTAATCACTAATGGGAAGGATCACAGCTTAATCAGACAGCTCATTTTTTACCTCCACTGCAGCAGCCTGAAGAGCCTCCTGTGCTTCCAAACCAACCCACAGACAGCCTACAGACTGCCCTGGAGAGCTGAGGGGTTACACCCCCTCTGTCACTTGAGCAGAGAGCTAGAGAACCTAAATGCAGTGTCTGCACTTGGAATGCTCCTGTATTTGCTCTGAACTGCGTCGATCAGAGGTACCAGGTTACAAAGCCCACAGTGCTCATGTCCCACTGAGTCACCAGGGTGGGATGACAGATCCAAACCAACATTCTATAAACCCCACGTGACTCACTCCAAATATCAGCAGGCTTTGTATGAGAAAAATACTATTGCCAGAATCAGTTTTAACATGCAACAAGAAGTTATGACTGTTCAAATATAAATAGTAACAAGAAAAAAAATACACAAATACTTACAAATTTCAAGTGTGAAAAGAAAGTTTGGGCTCAGAGAAATGTTTGCATATGTTTAAAGGACACATACTTCAAGTTGAAATCATCTCATCTAAAACTTCAGACGGCCTCGAAAGCAAGACAGTAACTATAAAATAACCCCATATTGATGCTAATTGAGTCTTGCTTTCTGGCAGAGGCTGTTGGGAAGGCTGATCCTGACCCACATCTTCTCCCCTCATTTACGTCTGGTATCAGTCACTGCCATTGTTCATTGTGATCCCGACTGCGCAACAAGGCCAGCTATGACCCCTCTGATTTATCTCTGTCACAGCTTGAGCTCTGTTCACCAGCAACGATGGAAGGCAACAATGTCTGAGGGATGCAGGCCTGGCAACACTGAGCACATGGCCTGGGTTTGCCTTGGTATGAAGAAAAGGCAGAGGGAAGCACACGTGTATCAGTTCATGTGGCAAAGACAAATAGTACAAAACAATAGGGATCACTAACCCATTCATTACATGTTAGCTCTGTGATCAGCAAGTAAGCACTAACTATTTAATTAGTCAACTAATTAGTGACAGGCAACATGGAAGGCTTCAGATGTTCCCAGACAAATGCAAAGATAAAAAGCCTAATTAACCAGCAAGCATTATGCTAACTACTGCCAAGGAGGCCAGATGTGCAGGATATTGTGCACCCCGGTGGTGCTACAAGATAATGGCAGTGATAGCTGCTCTGCTGGGAACCCTGTTCAGACCCTGCCCTTTCGGTGCTGCTCCTGGGTACCCTGAACTCATCCTGCAGAGAAAAACTCAGGTTTACTATGCTGGACTCTGATTCTACCCTAAGAATAAAGTTCAGGGCTTTGGCAAAAGTGACTTTAATCCCCCTGGTTTTTAAACATGGTAGTTATTTTGATGCTCCCATATGGAGAGGGAAATAGATTTCACAACAACTTCAAATGAAATATTGTGATCTGAGACACCATTCATTTATGACTATTTTATGTAGCATTCTATGTATACTCCAACATCTGCAGAGAGTAACTCATTGTTTACACCAGGGGTTGGATTAAGGAGGTTTTCAAAGTCATGGATTAAGAAGGGTTTTCCCTGTAATCAGAACACAATAGTGCTTTCCACAGCTATATGCAAAGAGTTGGGTAAAAGCCCATTGGTTCCCTGTGCTGGAACCAATGACAAGAAACTGCTGGGAACATGCTCTGCATTCCTGCAGCCCAACTTCCAGCCCTGCAGCTGGGGCACATGGATTCACAGGCTGCTCCAGGAACCAGCCCCTGGAACAACCTGGAAATGCTGTGTCCTGTGTTCTTCTGGCCTAACACTGCAGCCATGCCCATCACTCAAACAAGCAAAGGAAAAAAAACAAACAAGAAAACCTCCCACTGTCACACCTGTACCTCCCAAACAGTGGCTCTGCCCTCGGTACTGACTCCAGCAGTCACCTGGCTCTCCAATAAAATCCATGTGCATTGCCAAGAAAAGCATCAGTGCGCTGAAAATGTGTCTGCATATGACCACATTCCAAGAAAAAAAAAATCAGGAGATACTTATTTGAATGGTGAAACCTGAAAACCGGTATCAGTGGCCTGACCCAGCACTAGATGGAGCACAGGATGCAATTCCCCAGGGCTCAGAGCGCCCCAGGATTAGGAAGAAGCTCCCCGCACTCACAGGCTACTCCACACCCCTGTTGGCAGCATTTCTGCGGGGCCCTGGGAAGTGAGGGACTCCGGTGGGTGCCCCAGTGCTCCGTCCTCTGGGACTGCTTCCCAAGGATCCAGCAGCAAGAACCAACACAGCCAGGGAGCGGGGCAGAGGTTTGTGAGGTCCCAGATGGAAGCACACGGTGCCTGAGCAGCACGGAGGATCCCCAGGCTCGGGTGGGTGTGACAGTGTCACAGCTGCTCCGCGCGCTGCTCCAGGAGTGCCGTGCCCAGGATGTGCTGCCCACAGCACAGCGGGAGCAGGAGCCATCCCACCACGGGGGAGCAGAGCTCACTCTTAGGGTTATTTCTCTGCTTAATAAACAAATGTATTTCTTCAGTCTCAAAGAAATTGAAAACACTTGCAAGATCAAGTTCTAATAACTGCCATGTTGGTAAGCGAATTACATTTGTGTGTCTCCATGGTGACCGATAATGTAAAATAATTAAGTATGAAGAATAACAATGAGAAAATGACTTCCTCTTTTTAAGGATTAGGGCTCATAAATTGATTCAATCCAGCTATTTTTAGTGCGTGTAACCATCGCAGGGAATATTAGAAAATTATGAGCAAATTAAACTAAACTGCTTTAAAAGGCCTTCACATTGATCAGAAGGCTATTTGCTGCTGATGTGAAAATTAAAAAATAATCTTTCCTAAATTTATACCTCTATTAATATAAACTCAGTGCACTCAGTTGCTCTTGGAGCAGCACCCTGTGGCTCAGGGGGAGCTCATCTGTGCAGCACTGGAGACGAGCTCTCTCCTGCACACAAGGAGGATGTGTCCTGCAGGAACTCTGATAGAGTTGGGATCAAACTCAACTCCTGCCTGAAAAGCCTTGGCTGAGACAGTCTGAGGGCAACACCTGTAAAGGCCTGTTCGCTACAGACTCAGCTACTGGCTGACACACCTGGAGCACAAACACACTATGGTTTCCCTCATAGTGTTTGAAAGCACAGCAACGAACAGCACAGGGTGAGCGGTAAGAAAGAGGTTAAAAGCTCTGAAGTACATTTTTAACTGAATTTGGAGTAGAACTGAAAGCCTAAAAGGTGCTAATAAGCGAAGGATGAGAGGAAGTGATTTACCCCAAGATAGGATGCTTTACAGGAAAAGTCAGGAACACGATAAAGAGCACGGAGCAGGAATTTTTTCTGCACTCCTCCAGCAGTACAACATCCACAAAGCACTTCAACTTATTTTTCTTTTGACATATTGCCAATTTCATTTGTGATGTTATCAATGGTTGTTGTAGAAATACGAACTCCCGGTTTAACTGAAAAAAAAAGACAGAATTTTGCATTCTCTGTCCCCCCACTAAAGTACCAAATGCCCCCAGTTCCTGTAGCATTCCAATCTTGTTCAGGATTTGAATTTCGCATTCATTTCTGCAAGTGTTTCAGGACATCTCTAGTATGTGTGAATAAACTGCAGAAAACACTATCTGCAAAGAAACTGCATTTTCACAGTCTGACTTCCAATAAGCCCCTGAAACTGCTGTGGAGGAGGTACTGGCATAGCAGGTGCAACAGTGAAACATCAGAGAGAGCACCCTGTCCTCACTCTGGGAAGGCTGTGGAACAGCAGACCTCACCCATGAGTTTTCCCTGCCTTAGACAGGGGAAGGTATAAAAACAGCTGCATACTCCCCTTCTCCACGAGTTTATACAGTTATTTACTCCAATTTGGATAATTCCAGATAACCACAGCAATTCTATTTGCAGTTTTACTGCTGAGAAATGCTTTAGTGAATGCTGCCAGCACATGCTCCAGGTGGGGTCACAGAGAGTGGTGTCCTCTGCCAGACCTTTCCCACATCCACACTCAGGTCCGCAGCAAAACAGCAGAACCACCAGAAATTACGATTGTGATTCCTAAACAATCCCAAACATCAAAAGCCTCATCAGAATCAAAGGAAACAAAAGGTGTTATGAGAATCAAAAGCATCACAGTGAGACAACTCAACAAGCTCACGTGGCACATTTCTGCACAGCTCTGAAAATGTGGCATCGTCACAGGGGAAGGGAAGGAGGGATCCAAGCAGCAATTTGGGATCCCACTGGGCACAACTGGCTTTAAAGGTCAGCACTGCTTTGGAGCACACATGAGGGCTACTGACTTCCACCCGCAACAATCTGGTGTAAGAACAACATCCAAGGAGGCTTTAAGTGCTTCCAATTCTCATCATCAGGGTGCCTCCACCCTGAGGATCTCCGGGTGACTCGGAGCAGCCTGGAAGCCTTGGAGCCCCAGAGGAAGTCAGGGTGCCAGCGCACACCTCTCTGCATCTACAGCTGCTCAGACCCGTAACTTGTCTCAGCAAGTACTCTGAGACAGACTCAAGGCACACTTTACATGGAAGAAACAAGCCCCTTCATATAAAAGGGAACCCAAACAAGTTCCTTCACACAAAAAGGACACATTCTTCTCAGTAAAGGAAATAAAATTAAAAACTTACCAAAAAATCAGTGTTTCCAGAAAGGAAATTCCAACATCAGATGCACCAATCACCACAATTCTAGTGTTGATAGACACTTTAGATTCCAGCACCAGCTTTCGACTTGTGAGGTTCAAAGAGTAACTCAACTGCAAAAACATATGTAACATGAGATAGAAATGCATTAAAAAAGCAGCCAAAGCCTGCTAAGAATCATGAAGCTCACAGTGATGTGTTACCTTGCATTCTCACAAAACTTCCTATGGCTCACTGACATGACTAATACCATGATTTTTCTGTGCACAGCACCAGATGAATGATACAGAAATGCTGAAATACGTGCATGTTTAATAGAAAATTAGCAGAGCTGAATGATCTGGCTTCTCCTGAGCAAGACACTTTGGAGTCCTCATAGGAGAGGACGAAACACCGTCTATGCTCTCACTCACTGCATTTAGCAAACACCTGGAGAACACACATTTGTATACTGCTGAGGCCATTTTTATGCCTTCTAGAGCAGTTTTCACTCATGATGGTTTATTTCTGGAAATGATTTTACTCAAATTAACTAGAAACTTGTATTTTGAGTGTCTTTGTGTGTTGAATTGAAAACATCCATAATTATCCTTCTCTTTTCTTGGAATACAGAGCAGGCACCCAGAAAGCCAAGTTGTCACATGCATAAGCAAGTACTTCAATGCCCCTGGGATCAATACTCCAGTCACAAAATCTTACTATAGTGTTTGTAATGACTAATTTCAGTTTCCATACTACTTAATGCACACCCTGGCTATATAGGCAATAAACTCCATATGGGTTTTTTTTCCTCCATGTGTCTCTAAGTCTGTACCTAACAGAGATTCTCAAAATCAATATGCAAGAAAGAGCCAAGAGGTAACATTGCATTTGACAATTTTTTTTTCTTCCCTGAACTATATTTAGCTTCTGAATTTCTGATGGAAGGCAGGGAAATACTTCCCATCTCACAGTACAACACGTTGCATTTTTCTGATTGCTCTGGGTTGCCTGCATTCCCATTTCATAGAATGCACAAGTGCAGAGTCATAAATGCACTGGGAAGACCAACGCAAAATGGAGCCACTTTTGATGTTTGTCAGACCCCTCTGTAAATTCCTGCTGTGGCACTTAGGCAGGAAGCAATCCAAGGCTTCTAACAGGTTTTCCTCTACTACAGAGAGGAGACAGAGGGTTAATGATATTAAGTCCTCTGAATTCCTCCTATGAAATTACAGTAGAAATATATTCTCTATATATTAGTTGACAGTAATTCAGCAGATGAAGAGTGTTTTATTTTAAAGCCATGGTAATTACATGTGCCTTCTCAAGAGGTACACGGCACATTGAGATCCCAAAGAGATCTTTTATGCCGTGTCTCTGCACTGGTGCAGCCCCAGCACAGAAGGAGGAAAACTGTCTGGAGAATGACTAGTGCTGTCCTTAAGGAAAGATTATGGACCAATGCGTTGCCAACTGGCATCGCTGCATAGCAACTCATTTAGAATGTGGCAACACTAAATGTTGCCTTTGGTAAGGCAACATTATTTTTTACTGCCAGACAAATGTTCTTCAGGTTGCAGTTCACCATAGTGCAACGAGGACATCCAGTGGTGAGCCAGATTCATCTCAGGGACGGTACTGCCCTAGGAAAATTCCAGAAGATATCTGCAAAAGTGTCCCAGTCCGTGGTGGCTGCTTAGCAGAGGTCAGCTGTGTGACAGCCAGCACATGCTGCAGTGAAGAATGCCTGGGCTTGCCAGGGAGAAGCACAGAACCACCCTAGTGCTCCTGAGCAGAGTTATACGGGACATCAGCAAGTCCACAGAGAAGCCAAACAGTTCCATCTACAGCCAGTGCTTTTGTACATGGTTAAATGCTCCTTACAGCAGGGTCTGCCACTAAAGGGATTTTGGTCACAAGTTAGAATATGCCTATAACACTTGCACATTTCAGAAAACAAAGAAGCCTTTTGTATTCCACTGAGAATTGCTGGGAGAGGCTTTAGGAAATGAGAAGAACTGGTGCCCAGTACTACAGGCATGCTTAAAATAAACCATGCTCTTTATATCATACTAAATGGTTGTGCCCCAACTACGTGTGATGTAGCTCTGCCAGTGCTGACACGTGGAGCCCTCCTGGTCCCACAAACAGGTGTGGAAGACACGGTACTTCAGGCTCTAATCTTGCCATTCCCATTCCCTGGATCAGCAGACAGGAACTCTGACAGGCTGGGCTCTGCTGCAGAGAGTTGCAACTTTGTAGGAAAGCATGGTCTTCTGGAGGAAAAACGATTAGTCATGTTTCTGTTGAGATGCGACTTCTAATAAACTAATAAAATGGTAAAAAACCACAAAGAGAAACTACTTGTAACATAACTAATCACCAAAATTGGTAGGGATACCAGCAGCTGACAGGATAAACCCAACAGGCCCCGTGGCAATGCCGAGGTCAAACATTTACTGCCACTCTGTGCTGGTGGCTTCTGTTAATGTATTCCAGCAAGGAAACACAGAGCAGGAACACAATTTCCCTGGGAAGAGTTGTATCTAATTTACAAAATGGTTTCTGTATCAGTGACACAAAGGTAGTGTTTGAGCAGAATATAACCATTGTGTGGTGCTCACCACACAATGGCCCCAACACCAACAGCTGTCATGCTCCAGAAATCACCTTTCCACAGCTAAGTACACTAAACGGCCCCAGGGAGGGAGGAATTAGGTGGATTGGTCCCATAATACCACCTATTTTAACAAAGTGTCAGGACAAATGGCTACATATGTTCCCCAGAGGGTAATCAGACAGCATAACTGATAGGTCAATAGCAAACTAACTTGTTTATTTTGTATCCAATCTATTAAATAAACCAGCAATCATTAACTAATGCAAGGCAAAAAGCACTAATTGCCATCGGCAGAAGAGGCCTATGTAGCTCAGAAAAAAGAATTTTGTTTTGGTTCTCAAAGAGATCATTTGGGGTGCCTGGCACCCCTTCCCCCCCTCACTGCTCCCACCCTGAGGCAGAGGGACAGTGGAGTCGGCAGTGGCGGCCCTTAGGCATCAGATCCCAGGGATATTCCTGCACACAGCCAGCCAGTGCCATCACTCAGAGGCCTTCCGACTGTACCTCATAGAAACACTGCTGCACTTCCCAGAGCACGCCACTGACAGCACACACCCTGCCACTGACTTACAGCTTTCACTCGTGAGCTCACGGCACGTGTGCCAGAGCAGCATCAATTTACGGCATCCAAAACTCACACACCCTTCTACCCCACGTAAGCAATGGAAAAGAGAGACAAAATACTGATTAGGTTTCAGACACGCTCGCATGCATTATTTCCTTTGCACTTTCCAGCCATGCACAGCTTCATGCTCAGCTCTCCTGTCCAGTTTGCACATGCCCTGGGAACAGATTCAGGGTACAACTACTCAACAACATTGTGCTGCTGGTACAAACTCACATCCAGCATATTTTGCAGCTCCTCTCTTAGTTCTGTTTTTAAAACACTGGACCCTGAGCTATTTGTAGGTTTTCTAAATATATTTATTATAATTTTTCTACAACAGGTCAGGGTTTATAGCAAATACTACCTTCATTCTAACAGAAAAAAATGAAAACTGAGCACTCAAACCTGAAAAAAACAAGTTAGACAAAGGATTTCAGCTGTGACATGAAGAGAGCAGTGCTGTGTTCTGAACTGGGCATTGATAAACGTATCCCAGTAACACATCACTGGAGTGTCAGAGCTGGCACACTCCTTGCTGAGACTCCTCGTGCAAAGGCTCCATAACACTGCAGAATTTGCAGAGTCACAAAATCTTTTAGACTGGAAAAAACCCCTTATATCATGGAATCCAGCTGTAAAACTTAGACTTGACTTAGTGGCACGGTGAGGACTTGTGCCTTCCCAGCTAACCACGCACAAGTGCTGGCTGCAGGTTTAGTGTGCTCTCGTGGCCCGCGTTCAGGACTGCTCGGGGTACCGCGTGGCAAACACAGGGCTGGCTGTTTGTTATGTACTCAGCATCTTCACAGATCCCTCACTACTACAGGGACTAACAAGGGACCACTGGGAGGGGCCCTCCCTGCCCTACCTTGCAGGATTCTATGTCTGCCTACAGTGCTTTTGTTTTAATTCAGCATTTGTTAGTGAGAAACCTGAGTGATAGTCACTGCTGTAGAGGACTGATGTGATTTGAACTGTTACTGTAAAAACCATCAGAAGGAGTGAGAACAATTAACAAACCTGTTCCTAGAGCAGTGCTGAGCTCAGCGACAGTGGCAGGCAAACAAGAAGGTGAGCAAACAGAGCTATTTTAATTTCAAGCTCCATTTGAACCACAAGTTAAAAAAAGAAAAATCAATGTTTACCAAGGAGATATGAACACAACTCATTGGAAAATGCATGCTTTTTCAACCTGCATTAGGAGTTGTTTTCTAAATACTAGCTACATTCCAAAAAGCCTCATTAGAAATGTCTGTAAACATGTTTTCAAACGCTGTTTCCAAGCATTTACAGATTTCCACAAACACCAGAAACAGAAGGAAAAGAAAACAGAAAGAGAAGCAGTGATAAAGACCGTAGCCTTAATTATTTTGTTGTCTTTGTCAAGGAATCCTTCTTTGGGAACTGTGGCATGGGCAGGTAACACCTCACCTCTACAGAGTATTTTTCATCTACAGACCTCCAAGACCTTTATAAAATGAAGTCAGTATTATTACACCAATCTCATACAAATAAAGGCTGACCTTCAGCTTCTACAGGAACAGTATCTATATTTGTGAGCAATCCCATGTCCAGCCCTCTGAGTCCCTCCAAAACCAGGCATTTCCCGTGTAACTCCAGCGAGCAGCAGAGGAGAGCAGAGCACAGGCACATCTCTTCCTTTTCCTTGCAGAACCACTGTTACCATGGTAAAAACTGCTCTTTTCCCCTTTGAGCACTGACGTTTGGATCCTCAGCCCAGAGAGGGCTGGGCAGTTCCCACTCACAAAATCTCACAATTGCCGCCCTGCTTCAAAGGCCAAGGAAATGAACTCTGAATGGTGCCACTTTCAGTGAGCTCAGCTCTTCCCCTTCTTTCCAGGGAAGACAAGAATGGAGAGGATACACTGAGCCCACCTGCAGAG